GAGAGGACTAAAGCCGGAAGAGAGAAATGAAGCCTGTGGAGCTGGTCGGTTCATTTAGTGTCATCTTTATTTCATGTCAATGAGAGTTGTTAGGAAAGCATCAACTTAGACGTTTGTGGAGTGGGAAAGCGTTCTGATCGGGGCCAGCCCCAGAGCTGATGTGCTTTAAAACGCATGGCTGGCAACTCAGCTGGCCAGAACTGGGGCACCAGCACTGGCCTGCCTAGCACCGAGCTCCGGGAAAGCAGAGGATGCTCCAAAGAAGGACTCCCAGATCCGTCCTTCGTAGGCATCAGTGAAGGGTAGGAGAAAAATACACGTTATTCTTTTCAGGCCTATACGGAGGCCAGATGCTAAAGCTGCTAATTCAGTGTACATTCTTGAGATAAACGTCTATGAACACTCAACATGTAATGAGAGGAGGGAGGAAAGAAAGCAGGAAGATAATGTTTTTAAAATGTCTCAGAAAGGATTATCACAACCAAAGTTTGACGTCCCTAATGATACACAGAACGTGTAAAATTCTTTTATCAAAGTCCAGTCCATTAGCGTCGCATGTTACAAAATCATCCTCTGGCTGTTCTCAGGGACCTGACGTTTTCTAGCACCACATTTCATGTTGGACTTGCAGATTACACTTAAAAGGAAAAAATACAAGTTAGGCTGCACAGATTTCATCTAACAGTTTCAACAAGGAAGCTTCCATGCACATGTTTTCCACATTCTTTTCCCTGTCCCAACCTTCCCCACTGCCCCCACCTTGCTTTGCTTAAATGTTTGCAAATCCATTAGTCCTCGAGGCGTTGTCACCCTCCTCCACACCCAACGTATAGATAAATACAGAGGAGAATAGCACGAGGGGGAATTAAGGCTTGTGTCATGCAACACTGCTTAGCGGAGCCCCCAACACACATGCACACTGCTGCAAAGCCTCCAGCAACTGCTTCCCCATCACAGCTCAGTTGCAGAAAAGCCTGCACATTCACTAGAAGCATGATGTAGGAATTCTGCATGCAGGATTTTAAACCCCACTGGCTGGATGTATAGTCATTAACCCATGTGTGAAATTAAATCCAACCATAAGGAGTATATAGACACACCTTGTTTTAAATCCCACCTGAGGCCTTTCAAAGAAAATCGTTGGCTGAGAAAAGTAAAAAACTTTTTAATCCAAACTGATTCCAAACCCATCACCATCAACAACCACACGGACTGTCTTAGCTCCTGACAGCTGCTTAAACATCCACAGGCACGGGCCCAGTGGCATGGCCTAGCAGCTAAAGTCCTCGCCTTGAAAGCACCGAGATCCCATATGGTCACTGGTTCTAATCTCAGCTGCTCCACTTCCCATCCAGCTCCCTGCTCGTGGCCTGGGAAAGCACTTGAGGATGGCCCAAAGCCTTAGGACCCTGCACCAGTGTGGGAGACCTGGATGAGGTTCCTGGCTCCTGGCTTCGGATTGGCGTAGCACCAGCCGTTGCGGCCGCTTGGGGAGTGAATCATCAGACGGAAGATCTTCCTCTCTGTATATCTGACTTTGTAATGAAAATAAAATAAATCTTAAAAAAAAACAAATCCACAGGCACATCCCCCAGCCCATTAAAACAAGAAAAAAAGAATGCCTTGTCCATGATTTCATGCTGAAACTGTGATAGTCCCTGCTCCTGAAGGTTTGCATGGTTTTGTTTCATGGAAAGAGACAGACAAGAGGATCGGAACACTCTGTTGGCGTGAGACCAATCCAGGAAAACTCCAGGCTCGTGTTGCATGCGCAGCTGTTCTGGGTTGGCCCTTGGATTTGTCACGGAATCTGCTCGCTTGGCAAAGGGTTCCTGCTCATCTCCTGTTTCCTTTGTGCCCATTGTCTTAATAAATTTTCCTCTACTTATTATCCTCAGCTTTTACAAAGTTGAATTAATCCCTTTTAATTTTGCCTATTACAAATTGCACAAGGAAGGATTCGGTATGCTTGTGCACAGTAACACAGGCTCAGCATGATTCTGAAACTAGAGATCGACTGTTCCAATGATCAAAATTTGGATAGGCGAGAGCTTTTCGATATTTTCTGGTTTTGTTGGTTAAGAAATTACATCTTATTGTTTTCATTTTGGTAGCACAGCAGGCTACTCATCTGCCTGTGGCACTGGCATCCCCTATGAAAACTGGTTTGAGTCCTGGTTGCTCTGCTTCCAATTTAGCTTCCAGCTAAAGGGCTGGGAAGGCAACAGAGAACCCACGTAGGAGACCTGGAAGAAGCTCCTGGATCCAGCTTTTAGAACTGGCCCAGCTTTGGTGACTGTGGTCCTTTGGGGAGTGAACCAAAGGGTAGGAAATCTCCCTTCTCTTTCTCTTTCTTTCTCTTTCTCTATAACTTTCAAGTAAAAAAAAAAAATCATTCAAATAAAACAGGAATTACATCTTTTATCTAACTCTACAAATGAGTTTCAATGATCCTCTTTCTATGAAATTGAACATTTTCACCATTATTTCAAAAAATCCTTGGAGTATATGAAGAACTTTTTAATGATAGCAATTAAATACTGCTGTTCTCCAAGTTAAATAGACCTAATTAATATATTTTCCCTTATTACTGTTTTTAAACACAAAAACACACATACAAATCAAAAAATGCACGTAAGTAGACAGAATACACAAGCCCTGGTTTCTCTGATCGCACTTGCAGCCAAAACCCAAATAAAGAGGAAAGCATTGCCAAGGCCCAGGAGCCCTCACCAGGGGCTGCCGCCTCTCCATTTCTCGGAAGTGTGCGACAAGGGCAGGTTGTCATTTCCGTGGGATGGTTCAGTAGAGCATTATTTATAATTATAGGCCAAATGCTTTGACATCCACATAATTTTTATAACTTCCCTGTGTATTAACTACCATAAAGAAGGGGAAAAAAAGTAATGCTTATCTTTTGGGACCTAATTTACTTAAGTTAGCAATATAACCTCCAGTTGTATCCATTTTATTGCAAATGTTGACATTTCATTTTTTTGCGTTTGAGTAATATTCCACTGTGCATATATACAACATTTTCTTTTGTAGCTTTTATTTTTATCTTAATTTTAATAAATATTTAACACGATAGAATTCTAAGAACACAACGCCGTTTCCTTTGTCTTTTCCCCCTCCACTCTTCCCTGTCTTCTTCCTTTTTCTTTTTGAGAGAACGTATTTTAGATTTACACTAAGGTAAAAGGCTTTAAACAAAAGACCTTAGTTTACTGAGACTATAGGCGACAGCTATAAACAATAATTGAATAGAAAAATGGCTGTTTCACCCATATTTGGTTCCTCTGAGCCATTTCCTCAAGCTGCTTGTCCCCTTGTGCCCCAGGGAAAAATCCAATGGCTTTCTCCCTTCTATAATATACATAAATTTATTCACCCCAAAATTCAGTCTCTGGCAGAAAAAAAAAATCCAATAGGTATTTAATCAGTCTGCCATTCCTTTTCCTATTTGGAGGATAAATTCTTTTTTAAAAGATTTTTATTTTTATTTGAAAATTAGAGTTACAGAGAGAGCTCTTCTATCCACTGGTTCATTCCCCAGATGGTCATAACGGACAGCGCTGGGCCAGTCCAGAGCCAGGAACCTGGAGCTTCTTACAGATCTCTCATGTGGGTACAGGAGCCCAAGGGCTTCAGCCATCCTCTGTTGCCTTCCCAGACCATTAGCTAGGAGCTGCTTGGGAGGTAGAACCATAGGGAGCTGATTCAGTGTCTATATGTAAAGTTGATTCCACAGGCTGAGGCTTAATATGCTACGCCATAGCATCTGCCCAGGTCAGATAAATTATTTCACTAAAATGAAAGAATAACAAAAATGTTGATAATTGTCATGCATCCCTGTATTCCAAAAGGTTCTATGTTCTTCTCAGTTATTACTTCTTCCTAAGATATGCCAGTAAAAGGATCGCACTTAAGACACACTCTGCTGGGCCTGGCGCAGTAGCCTAGTGGCTAGTCCTCACCTTGCATGTGCCAGGATCCCATATGAGCATCAGTTCTAATCCTGGATGCTCCACTTCCTATCCAGCTCCCTGCTTATGGCCTGGGAAAGCAGTCAAGGACAGCCCAAGGCCTTGGGATCCTGTACCCCTGTGGGAGATCTAGAAGAAGCTCCTCACTCCTGGCTTCAGATCGGCTCAGCTCCGGCCGTTGCAGTCACTTGGGGAGTGAACCAGTGGATAAAGATCTTTCCCTCCCTCTCTGTAAATCTGACTTCCAGTTAAAATAAATAAATCTTTAAAAAAAAAAAGAAAGAACAAAAGATGCACGCTGCTCTCACCACACAGGGCCAACCTTGTGGAATAGTAGGTAGAGCAGTCCTCTGCAATGTTAACATCCGACATGGGTGCCAATTCATTCCTGGCTGTTCTGCTTCCAATCTAGCTCCTTGTGATAAGCTGGGAAAAAAAGTGGAAGATGATCTAAGGTTTGGGGCTCTGTCACCCATGTGGGAGACCTGGAAGAAGCTCTGGCTTCTGGCCTCAGCCTGACCCACCCACACCTGACCATTGCAACCATTTGGTGAATGAACAACGAATGAAAGATGATCTCTCTCTTTCCCTCTCTCCCTCCCTCTTTGTACTGTAACTTTTTTAACTTTTTTGAAATCTTTAAAAAAAAATTTTTTTTCCCATAAATTTGCTCCGCATCTATGATCTCAGCCTTCCTGGTGTTAGCTATCTGTTTAATGATTCACAGTGTTTTCTCTTCCAACCACCAAGCTCTTCAGAAAGTAAGGTAACAAGTCAATAGTTAACTGGCTCCTTTGGCTCTGAATAGCAAAGTAGGAGCTGAAGGGAAGTCTCCATGGAAACCAACCTTCCAGGAAGTGGTCAGAAGGGTGAGTGTGTGTAAAACAGAGCTACAAAGATGGCATGAAGGAAATGACTGGTTCTTAAAGTCGGAGTAATCCTCTGAAAAACCTGGATTTTAAAACAAACTACGTTTAAGAACTCCAACCACTTTTCTCATGGCTTCCCCGTGAGATGGGTCTGAGCCATTCAAAGGCTCACTCTAGAGTAATCAAAGTGGCACCTGTGCCAAGCAAAGAGGAGGAGACTGCGGGTCCTGTTGACTTCACACTCAATCCACGCCTGGAAGAAAGGAACTTGTGTCTGTTGCCAAGAATACAGGACCGGAGCGAGGCTTGGGGAGGACCACTGCCACCTCTACGAGAAACCTGGTATGGAAGATACTCTACAGGTAAGCCAAAACGCACCCAGAGCTTGGTATACATGGATCAGGGAAGAGCTTTTGGCAGATTTATTGGACACTGGCCGTAATATCAGAATGCTACTCAGTCACTAATACCCAAGGGGATGTCTTTGAAAGGGGTTGAATGTACTGAAGTCTTTGGGTTGCATTCGAGAAGATGTGAAAACTGTGGATAAAGGGCTTTCAGCATTCCATAAGAGAAGGAAATCTCATTTGGTTTTAGCTTAGTTTACAGGGCTTTCATTGTTTACACCTAGCTCTGGCAAATTTTAAAATTGTATAGGTACTGATGTGATAAATGACAGCAATCTCACGTTTCTGTTGGAGTCTAAATTTCAATCATTATCTCCAGGACAGTTCATGACTTCATGGTTTTGACAGTAGCACCTCAGGAGTGAATCCACTCTGAGACAAAATTTAAAACCACCACAAACAGAACTGCTTGGCTATCGTTCTTGAGGGTTACCTAGAGAATAAGGGCATTTTTCGACATGGCTAACACTTATTCTGAGACATTTTATAACAAATGTAGGATGTTATACAGTCACCACAATGAGCTAAAGACATTTTCTTTTGGAAGAGGAAACATATATATGTGACACACCGAGGTATACGTATTGCCTTCCCCGCTTTTCTTTGCACTGTGGATCAGTCACACCAGTAAACGCTCCTTGTTCAGGAATCAGGAAGCCTTAGACTTGGTTTTGGAAACTTCCAGAACTTCCCCAGAATGACGGACATGGCTACTTTCTGGAGAATTCACAATCAGGTTCTTTGTGGCCGAGTCCTCGAGTCCTTCAGTTTCACTGACTTCTTACATACATGAATGGGGATTTTCCTCACAGTTTTAGTGAAGAGTTGTTTTTATAACAAAAGCCACCAAAGAAATTTTAAAATTCTTCTAACTCAGTGGTACACTTATTTTTGAAATTTAAAAAAGCCTCATTAAACATAAATAATAAGGACCAGGTAAACATGTTGAATGTTATTGTCAAGGAGTCTATAAACCCAGCTCCAACAAGCACCAGATTCCATGATGTTGGATGGATTTCTTCATCAATTTTATTCTTCTATAAATAGGAACCAAAATAACTGCCTGACAGCTGATATCATTTTAGGGCAATTTAAATAATGGTGTGACATCACTCACATTATTTACTAGAAATATAAGGAGTAGTCAAGCTTCTGGGAAAAAAATTGCAAAGTACAATTACCTTCTAAAATCTCATTTTGTTGTTATTGTTTGTTTCTGGCCTGCTCAATGTGCTGATATCGGGGGTATAGCTTAGTGGTAGAGCAGCATTTGACTGCAATGTGCTGATATCGCTTCGAAAGAAAATAAGGACGTAATTTCCATTCTACTGAAACATAGCAAAGTCTTTGAAACAGCCATTCAAGTCTCTTAAGGATAGAGAATTTTTCGCAATCAAAATGCAAAGCATAAAGCACATGTTTAGCCTAACAATTGAGACACCCATCCTCCATACTGGATTACTTGGGTTCAGTTCCCAATTCCAGCTCATGACTCCAGCTTCCTGCTACTACAGGTCCCAGGAGGCAGTGATAATGTCAAAATTACTTAGGTTCCTGGCTTGGCTGTGTTGCCAGCTTCCATCTTTGTGCCTGGCCCAGCCCATCCATGGGGCGTTTGGGGCATGAACTGGCATGTGGAAGCACACTGTCTCTGACTCTGAAATTGGTCTTTTAAAAAATACAAAATAGGACCGTGGGATAAGCTATGTAAAAATCCAGACATCAGGTGCATGTCGATTGGTAAGAAGGAAAGACAAAAATCCCAGGATAATCAAACAAAAAAAGAATGAATTACTTAAATGGATTTGTTATATCTCTTTGTTTCTGAATGGAGGCTTCACTCTGTGGCCCTGAGTTGTTCCATGAGAAAAAAAAAAAATTGATATATTATATTATGTAATAACTTTCATTCCATAGTTGGGGTATGGGCAGTATTTAATGGTCCTCATATAATGCCAAGCATTGCATACTCTCATTAGGTATTCGTGCTCCATTTCTTTATCATTGCTCTTCCTAGGTCACCTACCCCACTGCCTACCATCTATGTAATCTTAACAGACGGTCGGTTTCTTTTCTTAAAGCTATATTTTTTGCTAGTTTTGGATCCTTGTGTGTATTGTGGGGAAAGGAAATTTCACGGAAAATCAATATGTTAATATTTTCCAAGCATAACTTCATGTTTAAATATTTATAGTCAATATATTTTGATTTTTCAGGTAGTCCTGTAAATTCAACCAGAGGAGGACATCAGAATTATAAATTAAATCTTAGGGCAAGACTAAGTTTGTATGATTTGTGGGGCCTACTCTTCATGTATTTCTCTTCCACAATCAAACTATAGGATGAACGTATGTAACTGAAAATGCATGAAACTGCATTAGCAATCTAACAATCATGTTGATAGCCAAATAAACATATTGATAATGTATTGATATGTGTTCTTGTTTCTCTCCAATCCTGCCAGTGTCCAGAGCCATGTATTTTGACATCCCACTGGAAAAGGGAGAAACAAGCATTATTAAAAGGCATCCACCCCGAAGACCTCAAGTAAGATGAGTTTAAAAGGACTGGTTATTAATTTCTTGGTTTTAATGGTAACATTCGTTTTTTCTTAAAAAAAAGATTTATTTATTTTCATTACAAAGTCAGATATACAGAGAGGAGGAGAGATAGAGAGGAAGATCTGCCGTCCAATGATTCACTCCCCAAGTGACCGCAATGGCCAATGCTACACCGATCCGAAGCCAGGAGCCAGGAACCTTGTCCAGGTCTCCCACGTGGGTTCACTGTCCCAAAGTTTTGGGCCATCCTCCACTGCTTTCCCAGGCCACAAACAGGGAGCTGGATGGGAAGTGGAGCTGCTGGGATTAGAACCAGCGCCCATATGGGATCCCGGGGCATTCAAGGCGAGGACTTTAGCTGCTAGGCCATGGCGCTGGGCCCGGTAACATCCCTTTTTAACTATAATCATGAAAGAGGCATATTGACAATGACCATGCTGTTGAATAGAATGTTGTTGAAGGAACTACTTTAGGATTTTTTTGAAGTAATAACTTAATGTTTAAAACCTACAACCAGGTACAGTAGCAAATTCAGAGACATGGTGGAATCAAGTGACCCTCGTGTAGCATTAATTAGTTGGGTGGTTATGGGCACATCACTTATAATGAATAACAGCTACCACCACTTACTGCTATATTGTCTATTGCAAGTCAGATGCTTTGTCAAGCAACTTGAACTATGCCATTTTAAAATTTTCTCAGTCTCCTGTGAGAAAGCAAGTAATATCTTTGTTTTATACATGTAGTTCAGACAGTTAAGTAATTTACCCAAAGAGACACAGAGGCAAGAGGCCAGCAGAAACTGTCTCCAAATCCCGTGCTGTGAACTGTCAGTGTAAGTGGTCCCTGTGGCCCTGCATCCCAAACCTTTTGGCTTCCTAGATGTTAACTGGCTGCCGAAATTGGGCACATAGATTTCTAGGCAGCGAAGCGAGAGCTTTAAATGCTCTTAATATTTAATGGGTTTCCTCTGGAGAGCTATAATTTTTGAGAACTCTCCCTTTACATGAAGGACGAGGCTGGAGTAGGCTCTTGAAAATGAACTTCACCTGAAAGGAGAGTTGAGCACTTCTTGTGAGCAGGAGCCATCACTGACATTTGAACAACGTAACTGCAGTCAAATTTCACCTGCTGAACTGTTCACCCAAATGCCTGTACCAAGGGTATCAGAGCTCATCGGGTGTGGATTATTTCTGTTTGTTGGTTTTCATTTACCTGCCTTCTGTAGCTCACAATATTATCTGATTATATCCTTTGATCCCCAAAGAACATTTGTTTCTCAAAATATTAGAAACTTCAAAAATGTGATTTAAACAAAATCTATTGGGACCAGCATTGTGGCAAAGCAACATAAGCTGCCTCTTACAGCACCAGCGTTCCATATGGACACACTGTGAACCCTGGCTGCTCTACTTCTGATCCAGCTTCCTGCTGATGTACCTGGAAAGCAGCCTATGGCCTTAGTGCTTGGGCCCCTGCATTCATGTAGGACTCCTAAAGAAACTAATGACTGCTTGCCTCAGTCTGGTTCAACTCTGGCCATTGCAGCCATTTAGGGAGTGAACCAGTGGATGGAAGAACTCTGTCTCTCTGTAACTTTGTCTTTCGAGTAAATAAAATATTTTTTTTAAAAGCACTTGAAAAATAAATGCATCATAAATATCTACCCTTAAACATTTCTAGCATATCTCTAGGTAAACCATATAATTTTGTAACTTATTTTATGCCTAAATCCAATGCTTCCTTTCCAAGTGTATATAATATAGGCTCCTATATAATGCTTCCAAGTGGATTAATTCAAACAGAAGTATTTGGATGGACATTGGGCATAGCAATTTAAGCACTGCAGTGGGACACCTGTGTGCCATACTGGCATACCTGGTTTCCCAGTCTTAACTCTGCTTCTAATTCTGTCTTTACGCTAATTTTATCCTGGGAGGCATCAGATGATGGCTCAACTGACTAGGTCTCCATCATCCTGTGGGAGATTCAGACTGAACTCCATGCTCCTGGTTTTGGTTTTATCCAGTCTTCTCTATTGCAGACATTCAGGGTGTGAACCAGAAAAAAAAGAGATATGTGTATTCTCTCTCTCTCTGACATAAAAGTTTGTGAATGAGTAAATGAGGCATGTGAACGGCTGTGAGACCCATTATCTCTGCTGGGAGGAAAAAACACTGGAAGTGCCTTCCCTGACATTGCAGATGTATAATACTGTTGCATCAGGAGTCCGGTTGGTTTATCAAAGCTATTCATGGCATTGGCTATACGGATAGGATATTTTACTGCGCTCAAGAGCTAGAAGACACCTGAACTTCCGGAGGGGGTGGGGGTGGGATTGTATCCTGCAAGCTGAAAGGCAGATGAATTCTGAGTCTCCAACAAGCTCTTCTCCATGTATTTGTTTTACTCTTTCTCTGCAAATCAGCTTTCTCTGCTTCTTAGCTATGGAGACAGAATTAAAATACTAGCTTATTTGAATGCAAAAAAAGTTTTGAAAGCCATGCATAGTTATTTTTATTTTTAAATTTTTTTCCCACTCACTTTCTGTGAGCTTTTTTGAAGATCCTTCTTCTGCCTACCCTGATAGCTTGTGCTTTATAGTTACAGTCAAATAAACAGATTCGTCTAACCCTTTTGGCTCCAATCCCAAATTCCTGAGAGAAAATATTTCATTGGCTCCACTTTACTCATGATGCCAGCGCTGGTCCAATGAGCTGTGACCAGGGGACTAATGTTTCTGCAGTGGAAAAGTGGGCAGAAAAGTCACACTGTGGCTTCTGGAGTAAGCTTCCAGAGAAGGGGGAAATCACTAGGAACTTGGCAGACGCTCCCAAAGATATCAGCTATAATTATCTTCACAAATTGGGCTCAGAGTATTTTTCTACCACAAATGGGCTTTTGAAAGAATAATAAATGCTAGGTTCCCATGACATGATAATTAATAGCCTAATCTCTGCCAAAGAAAATTCTAAAATCACTTTTAACGATCAAACCAAAGCTAATTGTATCCTAAATCATTGGAGTTGCACTGGAGTGCCCTCCACTTCCTCAACATCCTCTCCTCAACTATAGAGTGGGTTGTAAACTGCAGGTCTCCAGTTTGGGCTGGGGAGACTCTAAGGGCCTCTGGCAGGGAGTTCAGAATCACACATATTTGCCTCCATATTGATGAGTTGATCAACATGGCTCCTCTGACCACCCAGCCTATTCATGGTCTCAATTAATCCTTGCAGGTGCTGCTTAAATTGGAGGTGTATTCTCTGGTGGTGTCCTTCGATAATTCCTTCATCCCCAAAGATCTGTCCAAATTTCTTCATCCTCAGAAAGCCTAGGCTGACCGGTGTATAGACCGTTTGACCCTCATTCCCGTGGACTTGATTTCTCTGACATTTCACACTCTCTTCTTTTCTAGAAAACACTAATGTCCACCTAACATACCAGGAATTTTACTCATGTATTATGTTCTGTGTGCATTTTCTCCATTCTAATGGAATAAACTTTGCAGAAGCAAAGATTTCTTTTTTTTGTTTGTTTTCCCTATTGTACCTGAGTGTCCAGAACAGTGGCTGGCACACAGAAGGTAGCCCTGAGTGTGTATTGAAAACCAGATGAATGCACTGGAGTTGGAAGAAAGATGAGCAGAAATCAACTTATGAGAGATAAGAAGGGTATTTCTGGTGTAGATGGCTTCCTTATGTCGTTTTGGGTACTAGAAATGTTCAGTTGATTAAATCACAATGAGGTCCATTGAATCTGATTTTTTTTTCAGCCCTATAACTAATGTTTCACCAACTCTCCTCGGGGATCTTGTGTAACTTTGGTAGGCAAGAGTATCAGTTAGCGTCCAACTAGAGAAATAGAAGTTAGAACTTAGCTCCTAGGACTCAACAGAAGACATGCGTTAAAAGGCAAATTGCAAGCAGATGCCGTACATGGTTGTGGGGGCAGCCAAGGCAGGTCTAACATTCATGGGACAGGATTTTGGGGCATAAGCCCCAGTTGGTTCCCAAAAGGGGAATTTCTTCTTCAAGGTTACTCCAGAATTGCTCTTAAAGTCTTTCGAATGATTAGCTAGCCCTGCTCCCTTGCCCCAGAGTGTTTGATATAATACTTCCCTACTTAAAGCCAACTCACAATGGAGTTTAATCACATCTACAAAATAATCTCACAACAATGCCTACATCAGTTGTTGAATAAGTAGCTACATAGCCCAGACAGGTTGGCACATGGAACTGAATCAAATACCTAAAAGGTCTCAATTTGCCTTATTATGAATGAGGTCTTCTTTTCTCTGTTAATTTTTATAAATTTTTATAAATTAACAGAGAAAGACTGAGTAAGAAAATGGGTAAGAAAGCTATGGACTTTTGTATGTTGAATTTTGTGCTCCAAAACTTTATTGAAATACCTTGGTAATGCAGAATGTCAACACATTACTCTAGATTTTCTATATAGGTAATATCTTCTATAAATGAGAATTTTTCTCTTTGTCTTGATTCTTCATTGTATTTGTTTTGAAACAGTTATCGGGAGCATGGCTAGAATTCCATTACAATATTGAGTGGAGTAATGAGCATCCTTGTCTTACATATGACATTTATGAAACTGGTACCAAAATTAAGTATGATGTACACAAAGGGATTTTGATAATGCTGGTACTAAAGGAAACAGTTGGCAAAGTTCAAGGAACTTTGCTTTACAAGTAACTGTGTACAGAGGTCTGGATTGGAGAGACCACAAAAGATACTGCAGTAACCATTAGTGACCGTTGAGGATAACTCTCTCTAGGCCTCGGAGCTAAGGAATGCAGAGATTTCTGGAACTAAAAGAGAGTGAGATAGAGAAAACTACTGTGAGAGAAGCAGTGCCCTGATGCCAAGGGACAAGTCAGAGAACAAATATCCTGACTTCATCATTTTCCTTCTTTAATTCTCCTGCCCAGTGGCTAAATCCAATGGTGAGCCAGATGACCAGAGAAGCTCTTAGTTCTAGTAGGCAACGCTTCCCTTTATGCCTTGATAATGAGCGTTTTCTTCTGAGCTGAACATTAAATTGTGTTGATTCTTTTCTCCATCTACTAAAAGAATCATATGACTTTTCAGTGAATTGATACAACATAGATTTACGATATAGAAGCATGCCTGCGTTTCAGGCATAAAACTTACCTTGTCATAACATATATAGATGAATATACGGCTGAGTGCTATCTGCTAAGGCTTTTTGCGTCTATTACAGGCGAAGTACTTTTTATAAAGTACTGTTGTATAAAGTACTGTTTTCTTTTAGCGTTGCCATTAAGATTTTATTGGCCTTTGAAGTCAGTTAATTGCCTTCCTCTCTTTTCTACTCTCTAAAAGATGGAATGGAACACAGAGTTATCTGTTCCTCAGATGCATGATAAAACAAATCGTTGAAACCATTTTTAGCCGCCTACACTTTTCAGTGGTATAAAAGATTTTCCTGCACATTTAACTTCCTTGATGGTTCTTACTTGATCTGGGTATGTTATTTCTTCGTGTTAATTTGTATTTTTCCAGGAAATTGGCCATTTGTCTCTAAGCTCTTGAATGTACTGTCATGAATTCTTCATGTTTGCTGTTGCGGTGATGCTTGTAAAATAGATCTAGCTTATGACCTGCTGTGACTCTCTGTGTGGAGTGGTGGAGAACATCTCAGCCCCAATTCCATGCTGTGGTCCTGCCCCCGGTTTCCTAGGTCACATGGGGGCATTCTGGGTTTCCTTTAGCCAGCAGAGAGAACGCATGGCATCCAAGTCCAGCATGTCATGGAGAAGCAACACCAAATGTTTGTTTGTCTGTTCTTTTCTCTGCCTCGTGGAAATAGTGGTCTTGAATTCAGCCTGATCATGTTTTAGGTTTTCATGCTTCCTATTCTTTATTTTTCCCTGCTGGATGTTTGAAATCTGGATTCATTGCCAAGATTATTCCTTCTTGATACTGATTTCGCACGCGGAGGTTGTCCTTGATACCTCTCCCTGCTTCCCAGGACCTTAATATATCTGTTCTTAGGTCACTTTCCATTTTCTTTCAGTTTCTCTAGCCCATCTTCCCCCTCATGCTAAACAAAAGCAACCATCTCAGGCTACTGTTTATCCCCAAGCTCAGCAATGCGTGGCCTGCAGTTGATGGACTCTTGATTCCTGAATCTCCTCACGAACACTTTAACTGATCGTGCTATTTGTTTTGCTTGAGAAGACAAATAATACAGGAGCCTTTAAACAAATAATACACTTTGTATGTTATGAAATAAAGACAAGGTGTTCCACCAGGCTTGGGGTAAGTCTTTTCGTTGTGTTCCCTCTGAAGACCATGAAGCAAGGCCGAGGGGGGGGGGGAAACAGCATGCACATGAGTCCAGGATTCTGAGGCAATGTCATGGGACTGGTTTATTTAGTGAAGTCAATTTCTCAACAATTTTTCTGCAGTGCTTCTGAAACAAAATGATTTAACAGAGGAATCCTGTTTGCAATAACAGTTGCTGCCATCTAGTGATTTTGTGGAAGAATGGTGTGATTTTGTAGACACAGCTCAAGGATGAGGAAGAAAATACCGGAGAGTCCTTCAAGACTCCTGTCATTAAACCTTCAGCAGAACTGCCTATTGCAATAGGCATTCAGAGATTGGAATAAAGAAGTCTGTGGTCAATTAGACATTCACACAATCAAACTTGGACCTAGGAATTTGGGGACAGATTATTTAAAATATCCCTAAAAATCTTTGCTTCTTTGGATTCAATATTTTTGTCATATTCCACAAGCAAGACTTCTATGGTCTATTTTGATGTAGTAATTTTCACAGATACTTGAAGCCAATGTACCTCAACCTATTAAGAAATCACTAGAATCCCCAGGAGATCTTCGGAATAGTAGATATATAGATAGATGGATGGAGCTAGAGATAAAAGAGAGAGGAGAGAGAGAAAAGAGAATATTAGATACAAAAATCTATCTTCAGGACATACCTTCATCCTATACCATCTCAGTTTCCAGGGAATGGCCTAATATTTTTCTTTTCCTAAATCTTGGAGATTCTAGTGGTAAACGACTTGGGGAAACATTTAATAGAGGAAAGAGCATTGAGTTTGAACCTGGACAGCGCTGAGTTTGCGTCCTAGAGATCTGACTCAAAAATGGGCCCATCAGAATTACACATAGGGTTCACCTCAGGATTGAATGGGGCAACATAGCCACAATGTTAGCAGGGTATGGAGTAATAGCTGCCAACTTAGAAACACTTAGAAAACCAAGTCCTCAAGACTCCCCCAGTGCAGAAGTCACACACTGTGCTGCACTCCCATCTCCAGGAAGCCCCCTTTGGTCTTAGGGGTCTTGTCCTGTACATGCCAGCAGTGTTCCTTGGACTCTCTTCCCTCGCCCTCCTCCCCCGCTTTAGTTTTTGGTTTCTGACCTGATCAGACACTGCCTCCTGGGCCAGCACGACCTAATGGCTTTGCATGTTTAAGGCATGTAGAGTTGAGAGCCGGGGAAAGAGAAACACTTCTTACTAGAATTGATCACCTCTCATAATATCCTTGCTAATTTAAATGATGAGAGTGGCACAGAAAGCCAGTTTCTGCCATAAATGCGAAATTGCCTGGCGTGTATCTAACATAAAAATGTCCTCCTTGTACCAGCATCTTTGCTGTTCTTTTCTTCCTTCTTTAGACCATCCTATCAAGAACTATGTCTGGTTGCTCTCCCCAGAACAAGTCAAACCCAGAACCATCAACCAGGAAACAACCCTGCAGAGCAGCAGTGAGGGACCCAGCCATGATTCTGGTATCCAGCTTTTTGTGGTTCTACTCTTTCTTTGATATCCTGGCCACCTTGAAAGTCAGCTATCTCCTAAAGCTACCTATTGATAACGAAACACATCACACTAAAATGAAAACAATTTCTAGGTGAATCTTCCTTCAGTACAGGAGAGGAGTGGGAGTGGTGCCACAGTTTCCATAGCCTCACGTCTCCTGGTGTTCCTCCTGCCCCTCAGGTCCTCGGTTCTTTACTTTCTTGTTTGATTAGCCCCCATCCACCAGTCTCTCAAGCATGCAGTCTTTGGCTCTGCTCTTCTCTGTTTTTGACCTTGTCTGTGACCCTGGTTTCAGCTGTGCTGTGTCTCCAGCACACATCTCTCTCCCCCAAACTCAGTGTCTGCAAAACTAAGTATCCACCCAACATGTAAACTGGCAGGTGTCCAAAGCATTTCGATCTTAGCCTTCTCCCAACCAAATCTGCATCACCCACACCAGGTTACTACTTTGCTTAACACATATCAATGGCTTCCCTTTGTTCTTAGGAAAACCAGTATCCTCCCAGGCTAGCCATGGCCTGCCCCTGCCTAACCTTACCCATCTCATTTTGAGCTGCTTTTGTCTTCTCCTTGAACTGTAACCAACCTGCCTCTTTCAGTTCCTTCAGAGGACAATATTCTCTTCCCAGACCCAGGACGACTGCACATACTGTTAGCTCTGCCTGTGATCCCTTAGTTCTCTAAATTTTCTTAACCTTCCAATTTCTGCAAAGAAACTCCCTCCTAGCAGAAACTTCTTGGGAAAATTCCTTACCCCTTTCCTTCATTTATTAGTTTTCATAGGTTGTTTAACAAAGTAGCTTAAGCCACAGAGCTGTGTTGCCTCACAGTTCTGGAAGTCAAGGTGTCTGAAGGGCAAGTTCCTTCTGGAGCCATGAGAAAGAGTCTGCTCTGGGCCTCTCACCTGGCTTCTGATTGTTGGCCATCTTGGGCATCCTTTGGCTTGTAGAAGCATCACCCCAATCTGCACTTGCATCTTCATGGGGTTCTTCCTGGGGTGCCCATCTGTGTCCAGATCTGTCCTTTTTCATGTTGATGCTGCTATATTGCACTAAGACCCCACCCTCAATTCCCAGCAGACCCAATTACCTCTCCAACTACCCTGCTTGTAGATAAGGTCACATTCCCAGCCACTGTGAGTTAGGCCTTCTACATGTACAATTGATGGTGGTCAGGGATGTGTTGTATGATTCATTGCACAGACAGTTCATTTTCAAGGCTCATTCCTCCAATTAAATACTGTCATAGTCCTTTCCTGTAGATGCTTTCCTCAAAACACTATCACTGTTTGTAATTATCCATCAGCTAACACACAAAAGAGTGTGTCTGTTGCACATAGATTGTAAGCTCTAAGACAGCCCCATCCACTTCTGTTGACATTGTATGCCCATTCCTAGCATGCAGCAGTCATGCAATAAGAACTCTGACCCGGGACTGTGTGTCTCAAGGTCAACAGTGTTCACAATTGAGAAGACTCAGGGAGCATCTCTGGCCTTAAAGACAGGTCACTTCCACAAGGAGCAGAATAGTTCAGCTGGGTGGTGAAGGAATGACTAACAACAAGTCAGTTCCCAGGGCCTCTCTCATTTGTAGTATTCTAGGATCCTGTTTTCGTGTTAACTTTGGATATGCTTCCTCAGTGCTTACAGAGAAGGATTCTTAGTTGTTGCTTCTCTGACCACTAGCTAGATTAATAAGTCACTGGCAACAATGCCATAGATCAATAAAGAACCCAGAGAAGTGGAAAAAACATTTGCACATGCAAAACCCTTGCGTTCCTGGAATTACCCTTCCAGTATGCTCTCAGGAGTAACTGCTGCCTTTGCAGTTTGATGTCTGCCTTTTATGTTCCATCATCTCTTGCCATGAGGAGTGCTGAATGCTCTCAATGTTGGACTTGTAGAAGCTTGAACCGATTGACCTGCCTCAAGTAATTGCCTCGGAGAGGTTTCTGAGCCAGCGAGAAGCCAGGACAAGGCACAAAGCCAAGGTGAGCTGGGGCCATCCTACGAGGGGAGGTTAACCAGGGGCGGACTGCTTGGGACTGCAGTGAAATGCCTTTTCAGGCACTTCCTGCACATCAGAGTTCAAAGATAAATTGAACTATTAAACCATTCAGAATCTGACCTTTCTAAAGCCATCCATCTTCTCCTGTGCTTACCACCAACTGGCTGTTGCCTTTCTGTCTTGAATGAGCTAGGAGCTCTTTTGTGCTTTGTGGTGAAAACAGGGCTCTATAGATAAAAGGAATGGAGGGTTGGAGGGATAGAAAGGAATTTTAATTGGAAATTTTTGATTCTAGAAGTTTCCCAATCTGTAAAATGTCCCGCATGATTCTTCCCTTTCCTCCCCTCAATCAAACCCTTTATATTTATTCTTAGCAGAAATCTACAAACTATGTACAAATCCTTCTGATTGGCTTATCCCACCTTGCCAATATTGCCCTTAGGAAAGGGCCACTCTGCATTTTTGCACCTGCTGTGCTCTTGAAAAGCTCCACTGAGTAGAATTCAGTGGGGCCAGTGTTGTGGCATATTAGGTGAAGCCACCACCTGAGAGGTTAACATTTCACATGGCCACCGGTTTAAGTCCTGGCTGCTCCACTTCTGAGTTAGTTCCTTATTATCGGCCTAGAAGGGCAGCAGAAAGTGGCCAGAGTCCTTGGACCCTGCATTCACGTGGGAGACTTGGAAAAAAGCTCCTGGCTCCTGGCTTCAGCCTAGTCCAACTCTGGTTGTTGCAGCCATCTGGGCAAGTGAACTGGCAAATGGAAAATCTTTCTCTCTGTAACTTTGCTTTTCAAATAAATAAAATGAAAAATGAATCTACAAAAAAAAAAAAAAGACAAGAAATGAAAGCTGTAATGTAGAAGTTCATTTTCAACACTCTCTACTCTGAGTGTACTCCGGAGTCCCCAGGTGCTGCTGTGCTCCGGCTGACTTGGTTAAATGTTCCCTGTTTGGAGTTTTTGTGCTAGTTGCAGGGAAGGGCTTCTGCCTGAGGATCCCCCTCTGCTGACTATGTCCGTTGGGCAACAGGAAGGAGTTCACTGAATACGTGCCTTCCATTTGCTGCCAACAGCAAGAGACAGATGAAGGTAGACTCGTCTCTGGCTGCCCTTGATAACCATCTGCATTATCCTACTGGAGTTCATTGGAGTTTGAGGAAGATCACTGGAACCACAAATAATCACCTTCAAATCCTTCCCCAGCCACAGCATCTCCTGGGCTAGCCTTGGTATGTGGACCTGCGCTTGTAACACTAGCTTCCACTTACCCATTTTGAGACTCCTTGCTCATTTCCTGGCCAGCACAGAGATATGGAGGGAAAGGAAGATCGCATCAAACCAGAACATATTTCTGGAGAGACAGAATCGGCTGTTAGAGAAGATGATATATTGTCAAAGTGAAGTCTGTAACAATATTTCCATTCAAGGTTTAAGAAAAAAAAACTTTACAGGAACCTGGGAAATTAACATTCCGTACACAGCAAAGTGACACTTCATTCTCTGATAGCGAGAAAAAGGACTTGTCGGGGACATAAAACATACCGCCTTTGTCATCAAATCTCTACGGATTCTGATTAAGATCTCACCCTGTTCCAGAAAGGAATTTAGACCGTGGATTGTAGAAACAGTAACAAATTATCCCAGACTAAAAAATGTACCATCTTTCATAGCAGGAACTGGAAAAGAAAATGCAAGCTCCAGTGCATACTTCTGGGAAAAGACAATATTTACATAAGATGCAAATGCTGGAAATGAACCGTAAAAGGCAAGAGGTAAATATGAGAAGCGTGTCACACTCATTGTGTTGACTCCATCTAATCACCACCTTGGTGCACGAATGAGGTTAAACACATATGTGGTCTTTGCCTTGCATGTTACAGTTTGTCACTTGAGCCGAAGGCTCGAAGCATGGAAGGTTTAAGATCTTTCCACCAACAGCTTGCTCAGTCTTTTCTCTGCCTTCTCCGTGATTTTTCTGGGTCCCAAGACTCCCTCTCGAGAAGTGGTTGCTTTTATGACACTCTACCTGCAGCAGGAAAATGAGACTAGATCATTTTTCTTGTTTTGTTTTATTTTATTTTACTTGGGATTCCCCCCAAAACTCCCACCCCCGACAGGTTTTCCCCCACGTTGCTACAATAGTATAGTCCTTCATAAGGAGTCATAATTCCATTTTTCTTGACTTAGTAAGTGGAAGAGTGAGTTGGGTTTATTCTGATAGCCCTGTGCCTCAAGCTCATGCCATATGATCATTGAATGAGAAAGACCTATGTTAGCCTATTTTCTACTACCATACAGAAAATCACAGACAGGGTATTTTGTAGTGAAAGGAAAGGCTCTGCCATCAGTTCCGGAGGCCAGGATGGTGTGTGTCAAGGTGTGCACCTCTGGCAAGGAGGGTGTCCTTGCTTGGCCAAGCTATTATGAGAAGCATCCTACAGCAAGAGTGTGTTCAAGAGAGCAAGAAGGCAGAGGATGTCAAGCTCCTGCTGCCTGTGTAACAAACCCTTAGCAGTCTTACTCTGTTGTGAGGGCGGAACTCTCATGCATACACACCTCTTAGAGATCCTGCTTCCAAAAAGAGAACCTTAATACACTATTGGTGGGAATACACATCAGCACGATCAATAAGAAAACAGTATAGGAATTCCTCAGGAAACTAACGAGGCATCAGGCATATGACCCAGCTATCCCTCTTCAGGGAACGTATCCAAAGGAAATTAAGTCAGCATAGGAAAGAGACACCTGCATCCCCATGCTTAACCCAGCACTCTTCACAGTAGCCAAGACATGCAATCAATTTAGAAAACTATCAACAGATGCGTGGAAAAAGAAAATGTAGTATACCTATATGACGGAATATTACCGAACCATAAAAATGAATAAAATCTTAGCATTTGCAACAGATATAATAGGAGATCATTATGCTAAGTGAAATAAGACAGACATGAAAAAACAACTACAACATATAGGAAAAAGTTAAAAGGTCCTATTTTCAAATGCCATCAGCATGAGAACTAGAGGATTAAGTTTCCCACACATGAACTTTGGCCTGCACACCCAGGCTCTAGGAAATCTTTCATAACCAACCTCTCCACCATAATATCCTATAACTGCCAGATCTGACACTTGTCCCCATCCAGGAAATGTCTCTCTAGCCATTGTGCTCTGTGACCCCAAATGTCTCCAAAGTATTTCTGCATGTGTCCTCATCTTAATTCAGCCTTTTTTAAGGTGTGGAAAACACTCAACTTTCTCTTAGCCACCCAAGGAGAAAGAAAGAAAGTCACCACATTTTCTAAGAGGAAAATGAACAACATATTCTGTTTGGGAAATGCAGGCTTCCCCAGACGGGCACACAGTTTGCAATGTGGGCTGACAGGTGAAGGTGAAGAAGTCCGAGGAAAAGCAGTGACCATTTCTAACTGCCCATTTCAGGCCCAAATGCAGTTCAAGAAAAGTCTTCACAGGGAAGCAAGAATTAATGATCAAAAACTGAGGGACCATGAGGCTGAGAAAATCCTTCCAAGTGTCTCAAGGAGTGATGATGACGGCCTCCTAGCTACATCTGGACAGATGGACAGATGTCTAGGTGAGTCATGCAACCTTCTAGTGAAAAGCTTTTTTCAAGTGTTTTTAAAACTTCATCAAATGAACTACACTGTCTATGTGGACAGACAATGGAGTGAGAAGAGAATGAACAGCCTTGGGTTCCTACAGATCTGACTTGGATTTTACTTCCTGGAACATGGTGAGCATGTTGATCCGTAATGTCTGACATCTAGGAGAAAAAAAGAGAGAGGCCAAAGCTTTGAAGCAGGATGTTTCTTTCTTGGTACAAGTTGAATATGCTTTCCATGCACTACTTACTTATGTTTGTTGCTATCCTTGCCCCAATCCCTTGGAGGGAAAAAAAAAAAAGCAAAGAGATCTCATTTTGTGGTTAGACAGACTGAAGCCCAGGGAGTCTCAAGGGAGACTGTATTCACCGAGTTGAGGCCAGGTTCAGGCACTTCTCTAACCATGCACCCTTTTACTTGCAAATCCATCTTCTCTTCCCACCTGGACCATCTAAAATGAGTCCAGCATCACTGTCTGACCAAACTTGTTCCTTCTGCTGCACCTGCTGTGTTGGTGGGTGAGGCCTTCACTCACCACATCACTCAGACCAAGACCTTGCTGCTCGGTTCATGCTTCTTCATCCTCTCCTTGCAGGTGGTCAGTCACAAAGGCCTGCTGACATCCGCTAGCGCTGCAATCCCTCCTGTCTTCTACAATACCACTGGCATGGCCTAGCTCAGGCCTGTCTATCCAGGGCAACTGCATCCACCCCCTCCCATGCTGGTCCTGACTGTGGTGCCACAGCAGGTACATCAGCAGCTCCTGGGACCTTTCCTGGCCCCAGCCAGAATGATTGACCCAAAGCTGTAGGAGTCCCAGCATCAGCATGTGGGGGCCCCTCCTGGTGATTCTGAGGTCCCTCCAGTTATAGAAATATTTGACGTGAAGCGCTCCTTCACTTTGCGTGGTCATCACAGTGTTACCCAACACCTAGTGGCACGTGGTCACTGGAAACTTCTAGCAGAAAGGCAGAATTTCAGACTCTTTTCCAGAGTGGTGCAAGCAGGACCTCCTGATCATGGAAATCCTACAAGTGTTTGTAGCAGTGTGAAGTAGTCTTAGAAAATGAAAACCTGACCATGTTACTCCATGGCTAAACGGAGAAACAACACCCACTCTGTGTCCATCACCCTAAGGACAAAGCCTAGGGACCCTGGGATTTTCAGGACCTAACCACCACCATCTATCCTCCTAGATTTATTGTCTGACACTCAGTTCTTATCTCTCAATCCAGCCCAGCAAATTGCTCCACAGCATTGGATGGCTCCGTGCTATCCATCAGACATCCATGTCTTTAATCTCCATGCTATAATACTCCACCAAGGACAGCCCCCAGTAAACTTTCCCTCTGCCTTTCCTTAAAGCAGACACATAGCACAGGCATCATACAGATCACTGTGTTGTGGGCCAAATCCCTAGGACACCAGGACTGACTGCTGACAGAGTTGTAGAAATGCTGCAGGTTGTGCCACCACAGGTCTCTACAGTGAAAGAGGCGGTGCGTGCATTGGTAAGTTACTTAGGGAAAGCTGCACAACTGAAACTCTGCTTGAGACATCCATCTAACCTACATTCCTGTGTCTCAGAAGGAAATGTGCACAGACAGCTTTGAAAATGTCAGATATTGATCTGGGGCTTGATTCTTGTTTATGGCCTTTTTTATACTCCTGAGGAACAGCAGGCGGTGGGGTTCTTTGTTCTTTTGGATTCTTTTCTACTATCTGTGTGTTGATATCTTCACCTGATGGAGGGTGAACCCTGTCATTGTCAGGCTAAATAACGGCGTTGCTAAATTCTTACATCAACTCTTTGAGGGAGGATCCTTGGCAATCAGATTAGTGCTCAAGGACAATGCCAGTGAGAGGTGAACCTGCCCAGAGGATACCTGCCCAGGCATCTGACCACAGGGCCTACAGACCTCACTGCATTTAGTGTATCCTGTAGCAATGATGCCTTCTTTTTGGTCTTAAAATACATCATTTCTACAAGGCTTAACTTAATCTTTTTTCTTTTTTAAAAAAATCACTTATTTATGTTATCATATGATACAGTTTCATAGGTTCTGGGATTTCCCTCCTGTCTCCCCACACCTTCCCTCCCCCTGCCACTGATTTCCCCTGTATTATTACAATAGTATAGTCCTTCATAAACAGTCATAAGTCCATCTTTCTGCTATTTAAGTGTATCCTGACATTGTGGGTACAGGCAATGGCAGACAGTCCAGCATCTTATTGTCAAGACATATTTAATAGTTTCATTGGGAGTCCATCTTTGATTGGGAAGTAGAGATGCATATTGAATTGTGTCTTCACATCTGGATATGAAAGTCTCTATTACACAATTACTGTGTATCCCCTTAAATGAAAAGCCATAAAACAAAACCAACAACAGCAGAAAAATAGAAATTTACAACAACATGAAGTTAAATGACATGCCACTGAAAGACCAATGTGTCATTGAAAAAATGAAAAACGCCATGATGCCTTTTTATTGAACCCCAGATAGCATCTTTATTTTTAGAAAATGTGGAGAATTTATTTATTTATTGGAGAGACCTAAAGAGGCAGAGACATGGAGAGATGCTGCCATTCAGTGCAACCTCCAGGGCTGGGCCAGGCTGCAGCCAAGGAGCTGAGAATTTGCTCCAAGGCTCCCCCATGGGTGACAGGAAACCCACAAGCTGAACATCATCATTGTTTCCAGGGTCCATGCCAACAGGAACCTGGAGACCAGAGCTAGAGGTGAGCATTGAACCCACACGCTTCTGTATGGAATGTAACTGCTGCTGCCAGAGAGCATCCTTCATTCTTCTGCCTGTTTTCTTAGATCGTATTGGACCCTGCACGGTGGTGCAGTGGTTAAGGTCCTCGCCTTGCGTGCCCCAGGATCCCATATGATCACCGGTTCTAATTCTGGTGGCCCTGCTTCCCATCCAGCTCCCTGCTTGTGGCCTGGGACAGCAGTTGAGGACTGCCCAAGTCTTTGGGACCCTGCGCCCGCATGGGAGACCTGGAAGAGCTCCTGACTCCTAGCTTTGGATTGGCTCAGCTCCAGCCGTTGCAGTTCACTTGGGGAGTGAACCATCGGAGGGAAGATCTTCCTCTCTGTTTCTTCTCCTCTATGTATATCAGCCTTTCCAATAAAAAATAAATAAATCTTTTTAAAAAAAAAAGAATAGATCATATCCAAGTTCATACACTTCCATGAGCGGCTGGCTCTTCAAGAGCTGGTCACCAAGGTGCCTGAGTGCCAGGTCCCTCTTACATAATGACATGGTTGTTCATTCCTGATCTCCTTCTGGAAGGTGGAATGAAATGAAAGTCAGTCATTATCTTCTGCTGCCCCTTAAAAGTTTGTCTGACATGCTTGTCTGGCATTTAAACATGTATATAGGCATATAACTTATATAACCATATTTAACCTCCACGATATAAGCATCATTCCTTTGGGAGTAATTCTATACATTTTAATGTGCCTTTTCTGTACTCTGAGATGTGACCACAGCAGGTAAAAGATTCTACTGGTGGTAGAATCTGGGCCCTTCCTTGAAGCCCAACAGTGTCTTCACCAACTGTAAGGCTGTGAAAGTGCGCACCTTTCATCACTGGAATGATATCTGGATCAGGGCAGCCGCTCCATGAATGTCATCTATGTGGACATAATGTACCAGGAAAGGGTTTAGAACAAATCAGAGCTGATGGAGAGACCCCACCTTCAGTACCAGATGAACTCTTATTTACATACAATTCCAACCAAGGCCCTCATCTGATCAGCAGTGCAATTGAAAGATGCAAGCCTGTGAGGCAGGAAGTATTCAGTCCTCATTGACTGCTGTTAAAGTTGACCACTGGGCCTGTGTGGTGGAGGCATGGCAAGCTAATCCTCCACCTGTGAATGCTGGTATCCATTTTTGGGAGCCAGTTTGAGTCCCGGTTGCTCTACTTCCTGCTCCTTGCTTGTGGCCTGGGAAAGCAGCAGAAGATGGCCCAAAACTTCAGGACCCTACACCTGTGTGGGAGACCTGAAAGAAGCTCCTGGGAGCCAGCTTCCAGTCAGCCCAGCTTTGATCATTGTGGTCATTTGGAGAGAGAACCAGCAGATAGAAGATTCTCTCTCTGTCTGTCTTTCCCTGTAACTTTTCAACTAAAAAAGTAAGTGAATCTTTAAAACAAAATAAAATTGGCAACAGGCTAGGGCTCATTAGAGAGGTGTAGAAGCATCTCCATTTGGTCCAGGTTCAGACCCCCCATCACTCCTCCTTGTGGAAAGATTGCAGAGGACTGAAGGTGCGAGAAAGGCCTGAGCCATGGCTGCAGTTACTTTGCACAGACACATACACGCATCTTGTCTTCAAAGGAACAGTTTTCCAGCGCGATTTATGTGTCACCAAAAGTCAAATTTCTCTGAATAATTAAATATCCTCCAAAGAAATGTATTCCCCCCACATGACTGTCACACTAAATCCGTCACTTGATTGTCCCTTCACAATTCTAGTCTTCCTTTGGCCACTTGTACTATCTTTCTGTTGGCTAGCTTGTTTTATTTGGATTTTTAAATACAGCTTTGTCTGTGAAATTATGAGTGTGATATGAGCATGGTGGTGACACACTTTACTAAAATATGTGTTATGCAATCCCCATTCGCTGAACATTCTTCATGCCCGAGTTACACGATCCTTGTGTTTCTTAAATCACTTCGTCCGTCTCCCTCTCCCTGGCATCTGTTTCTTCATATTTTCCCAAAGTCAGTTTTGAAGTAGGGTATCTTTTCTTTTTACTTTGTCCACCCAAAATATGTTTAGTTTTCTGAAGGTGATGTTTTATTGAAGGCCTATAAACCACAGAGAATCAAACAGTAGTTTACATAACAAGTAATAAGACATCTCACTCAGAGGCTCTCAAACTTCAGTGCTGTGCATACTAAACTATGTGTATAATTCTAAGAGAAGGACAGGGATTGATTTTCAAAGCT